TTTTTTTTTTTTTTTTTTTTTTTAAACAGGACCCAGAGTAGAGGGCCTTGTTCCTCTGTAATTAAACAGGCTTTACCTGCACATAGGTTTTTAGAGTATCTTGACAGCAGTAACCACTAAACTTTATCTGGAATTTTCACTAAAAATTAACTCAGAAAAGGGACAGGGATTTAGCTCAGAGGTTCGGTGGCCTGCCTTGCAAGTGCAAGGACCCTAGTTCAATCCCCGGTACCCGCCCCCCCAAATTAACTCAGCAGATACAATTCAGTTTATTTCATGGCCTTCATGCTGCCACAAAGGCCTCCTAAATAGACTTATTAGGACAGTGGATTTACCCATTCTTAATTATTAACAAGCAGGCATTCTGTTTTCAGTTCTCAATTCCAGTTATGAAAACTTAGTTTTAAGGAAACTGTCATTTTAGTCTTAGATTTTTTTAGTACAGATCTAGTCTCTTGGCCTGTTGGCCATTGTATGGCTCTTTTAAAGATTGAATTATCAATCCTAGGATTGCTTGAGATTTATTATTTCCAAATTTGATCAGCTTACAAGCTTTTGGATAGTGTTTGCCTCAGTTAAAAATAATCATTTGCCTTAGGAACATTTCCCAACACTGACCCTAAATACCTAAGGCAAATAATAAGGGATGTAATAGAATTTGTGCACATAGGAAATAAATGTGATTCTAATCTCCCCATTTCCAGATATTGTAGTTTGTGTCTCAGTAGCTAAACCACTTTTGTGTGTGTGTGTGTGTGTGTGTGTGTGGTGTGTATAAAATTTAATATATGGCTGGGGATTTAGCTCAGTGGCACCACACACACCTACCTTGCAAGTGTAAGGTCCTGAGTTTGATCCCTGGTGCCAAAAATAAGTAAAATAAAATTTAATATATACTAAAACCTGTGACATATACACTATATACTGAATATATGTTAAAATCTTACATATTTAATATATTCCACATATATTAAAACTATGATAGTATTATTGCCATTAAAGCAGACAATAATTGTAATGGATTGATTCCTTATAGCACGTTAAATTATTTTTTAGTTGCATACCTGAGACCTTATTTGATACTGTTCTGGGGCTGGGGATAACAGTGAACAAGATATTGAGCCTTAAACCAGATGTGGTGGACACCTATAATCCCAGCACTTGGGAGACTGAGGCAGGAGGATCACAATAAGTTCAAGTCCAGCCTGAACTAAATAGCAAGACTGTGTCTCAAAAAAATAAAAAGAAAAGGAAATCGAGCCTTTGCCCTCAGAAAGTTCATATTTTAGGAATGCTTGTTTATTGAATATAAAAAATAAAGGTTTTGTGTGTATTCTGTATCAAAGATGAAATATTTACATAACTAGAAACTTCTCTTGTCTAGCTTCAGTCTCTCAGTGGACCAATCATACGTAGTTACTCATCAGTGCATATTTACTCGTTTGTGATGTTATACTTGATACTATATTTTATTAAGATACAAGATAATGTTTTAACATAAGCAAGGCAGAATCCACTATAGTAAGTCCACTACTTACAAATGAGTTCTGTTCCAGGAGAATGTTTCTGAGTCAGACTGGTTCATACGCCTGGCAAAATGAGTCTTTGACACAGATACACAGTGGATGTTACTTTGAGCTTCCCAGCAGTCCACTTCACATCACTGCTTTTCCTCTTGCTTCCGGACATCCTGGGCTCTGACTGAGCCCTATCCTGCTGTACCTGTCACACTGTACAATTAAGTGCACAGCAGCATAGCTGTGAGACTGACAGACATATGAGCTACTTCCATGATGTGTTCATATCCAGGAATGTTTGTAATATGAGGTCCATTTGTATCTGAAAGTTCGCATCTCGAATGTTTGAAAGTCAGGGACTTACTCTAAAGCAAGTGTTTGAGCATTTGCTTCATGAAGTTCATGGTAAGAGGTAATGGAGATTTGAACAGAGTAAGACACCATCCTTGTCCTCAGTAGACTTACGGTGTACTTGGGGAAACAGGACTCATAAATACAGTAGATATGTAACTCAGTTAATGTATTGATTGGCCAGGGGCACCAAGATAGGCATTGGTGCATAGGGATGAAGAGGATAGGTTCCTGCACTCAGACAGAACCACGTCATAGCCAGGTTAACCAGGTGAAGTCCATCAGGCAGTTACACTAGTGTGAAAAGTGCTGTGGGGGTGACAGATAGACTTTCTGTGCCAGGTTAAGGGGGAGACATTTGCCACCTGGAAAGGACAGCTCCTTGAGGGTCTGACATGAGACTAGGGAGTATCCAGGCAGAAGCATACAGTCTCCTTGAGAAATGATGAGACCAACAGGTCGGAAAAGGATGAGAAAAGTCCCGAAGAACCCTTGGGCCTTGTCCAGGGGTTATGGGAAGCCATCAAAGAATTTGAAGCATTGGAGAAGACATCACCATATTTGCTCTGTGGCAGATGATGCTGGATATAGAATGGGAAATGTGGATTGAAGAGGGGACTTATGTGAAATGCCCAAGGACATGGTGAAGGTATTGAAGGTTATCTGAGTGAGAAGCAGAGAAGAAGCCAGGAGAGAGTAATTTACGTTGGCCTTGTAAGAGGACCTAGATTGAATGAGAAAGGAGAGCCCTTTGGAATGTTTTACAGAGTGTGCAGGGAGGGTGTAGTGCAGCGCAGTACTGCTGGGCTACCTGGAGGTCCTAGAGGGTGATGGTTGGGAGAAGTCAAGAGCATGACCCACAGCAAGTCACTGGCTCTTTCAGAACAAGTTGTCTCATTGATCAGACCCTCTTAAGGGCTGGAATCATTAGTGACAGGAGTGGGCACCTTAATTAGGATTTAGGAGTAGCAGTTTTTTTCTGAATCTTGGTACATGTGGTCTTGGTTTCCGTATGTACAGGCATCAATTTATTATCTTAATTGTAATACTTTAAATTTTCTTTGCATCAGTTTGTCTTTTCCCTAACATTTTACATGTTTTTATGTGAAATGTTCTGAGAACTTTCTTCTCTGAGAGATCTGTATAATTCTGACCCTGATCAATACTAAGTTTGCATATGGCCATTTCCTTGCACATTCCATTAGAACACTCAAGTGGTGCTTGTGTGTGTCTTTTGGGTCAAGTACATGATTATTAGAAAAACTAGAAAATATAGTTTAAAGCAAAAGCAGAAAATCTGTAATCTGTCTTCTAGTCACATGTCAGTTATCTATTTTAGATTTTTCTGTATGTGTATACATACAACTGCAAAAATTTAACCAAAAAGGGGTCATCTTCTAAACAACTTTGTAACTTAAAATATCTGTTCGTGTTAATAAGTAAATTCTTCACTTACCCTGTAAATAATATAGATTAGAAGGATGAGCTTAAGGGACAACCACCACCAAGTCTCAAACTGAAGAATTAAACTTTATCACCTTCCTGTTTTTGTCAGCTTGTGTGTCAGACACAGCACAGCAGCCGTCTGAAGAGCAAAGCAAGTCCCTTGAAAAACCAAAACAGAAAAAGAACCGCTGTCTCATGTGCAGAAAGAAAGTGGGGCTCACTGGTAAGGGCCTATATTACATGACATGAAATTGTGTTTTTAAATGTGTGGTTATTGTTGATTTCAATTACCTTGTTTCCGTTTCCATGAGAATTACTGTTGGATACACTTCAGCTTCTGATTTTTTCCCTATTACTGGGAATTGAACTGACAGTCCTCACATTGAGCTACATCCCAGCCTTTTTTTTTTTTTTCAATGAGATAGGGTCTTGCTAAATTGCATAGGCTGGGCTTGAACCTGCCTACCTCAGCTTCCCAGACTTGTGGGATTACAGATGTGCGCCACCACACCAACTAACCTTTTTTCCTTTTGTAATTTTGAGGCAGGGTCTTGCTGAATTTCCTAGGCTGAACTTGTGATCTTCCTGGCTCAGCCCCCTAGTAGCTGGGTTTAGAGGCATGTGGCACCATTCCCAGCTCATACATTTTCTTAAATAAAAGTAGCTTTAATTATATACCTGAAAGTAAAATGAATCACTTTTCTTTTAAAAATTTATTTCAGCTTGAGTTTGACAGTATTGGACAAGTAGGGTCAGTGTGCCAAAAATATAAAGCACTAGGTTATCTGTGCAGTACTTTCTATATATAAAATAAGATTAATCACAGGCTGTGTACATTCAGTGAGTTAAAACATGGACGCAGTTAATCTGGTGCTATCTCATAGTAAGTAGTATATGTTAATCTACTATAATGTAGCTGTCAGATAGTATTGTTAAGAAAGGGAGAAAAAGATGTTTGGAAGTATCAAGCAGAGAACTAACATTAAGTGCAGATCACCATAGGAATTCAGGAACTGGAGTGCTGTCATTACTTTATCTAGAAGAAGCGGGCTAGAGGCCTGGCAAGAAAAGAACACAAAGGCAAGATAATTCACCTGGGTCTTGAATGAGGATAACTCACTTCCAACTGATAGAAATAGCTTTTCAGGTAGAAAGAATAGCTGAACCAAAGCTCTGAGAAATGAAAGAACAGTGCATGTTCGGGGCCTTTGAGTTGGAAAATGTTGCTGTAGCACAGTCTGTGAAGAAAGGTGTTGCACACTGCAGGTTAAAGCTAAGATTTAGAGGCTTGTCTTGGGCTTGATTGGTAGAGTGGGGTTGCACCAAGGTTTATTATTTACCCTGGCCAGGCATGGGATGAATACTTCACATAAATATCTAGCTTATGGACAGAGAAGAGTAAATGTTTAGCAAAAAACTTGTGCTATGGGTTTAGGATTACTTCAGGCTAAGGAGTGGATTTGAGATAAAGAGGAAAAGAGGTTAGGGCCTGTGATTTGGCTCAGTGATTCTGCCGCCTGCCTTGCAAATGCAAGGGCCTGAGTTCAGTCTCGGGTACCAAAAAAAAAAAGAGGAAAAGAGATTAGAGTCAAATAGCAAGATGTTTTAAACTGGCTCACTTAAAAAAAAAAAAAATACACACACACACACACATATGTATATATATATAGACATACACATAGAATACAAACATAAACAATACTATTTGTTTTATTTATTTATGTTTGCGATGCTGGGGATCAAACTCATGAACTTGCACATGCTAGGTAAACACTCTTGTCATTGAGTTATACCCTAGCCCGACATTTAAAAACATACATATTTCATATCAAATAGAATCTTTCTAAATTTCATAAACTCTGACTTTATAAGCTGAGCCTTACCAATTTTCTTGTCCAGTCTGTCCAATCTACTGCTGTTTCATTTTTTTTTTTTTCATTATATAAAGTGCAAAAATATAAAGAAAAGCAGGGTCATCTTTAAAATACTGATTCCTAAGCTACAGTTCCAAAAATTCCATCATGACACAAAACCTTAATTCAAGGGAGTAAGATTATGCATATCTGTTACATCTCTATTTTGGCTTTAAGTTCTTTAGCATTTCCCCCAAATTGATTTGCATTTGTTGTGTGTTTACTGAGAGTTGAACATTTAGTACATTCTTTATTTAATCTTCTCGTAATTTATTATTCCAGGATTAAAGTTGCAGGAACTGAGCCTTAGAGTGTCTAATTTGCCTACATCAGTGAATAGATTGAGATTTAAGGAATCTAACTCTAGATGCCATGCCCTTAAATCCTGCTCCAAATATGTTCAGATCTCTAGAGGTTAGAAAGGAAAGCTGACGAGGACACTGTGCTGTTTTTTTTGTTTGTTTAAACTGGGCTATTTACAGTTCTGTCAGGTTTATTTGATCTTTTTTAATTAAATGTTAAGATAGCCTCTGACAGTATGCTTAATTCTATAATGCAGTATTTTGCTTTTTTAAAAATATTTCAAATTTTCAATTTAGCAACCCTATTTTTGATAAGTAATGTGGCTACAAGAACCTTGATCTTATGACTTGCTGTAGTAGAAATCTAAAGATAGGAACAAGTAATGAAGTTCTGCTTCTGAACTGCGGAACAGTAGTTTGTGAAAACTTTATTTGGAGTAATTCTTTACATTGTTGCCTTAATACATCAAAACAGTTTAACAGTAATTATGCCAAAGAACTTAGAATTCTACCCAGCCACCCAACTCATGTTTGTGTCTCATATTTGCAGGGTTTGAATGCCGCTGTGGAAATGTTTATTGTGGTGTACACCGTTACTCAGATGTGCACAATTGCTCTTACAATTACAAAGCTGATGCTGCCGAGAAAATCAGAAAAGAAAATCCAGTAGTTGTTGGTGAAAAGATACAGAAGATTTGAACTCCTGCTGGAATACAAAATCCTTTGACCATCTGCAAACTAAAAATTGACTTGAGGTTTTTTTTTTCCTAGTCACTGGGAATGTAGAGCAATGTATGTTGCATAGACCTTTTAATCATGCATGTCATCAAAAGAATAGATTTTTGTTTTTGTTTTGAAAATAACTCTGAACATTTATTTCCATTGCAGTTTTGTGGCTGAAAAAGACTTAAACTTTACAAGTATTATCCTTTTAAGATCATTTTAATTTTAGTTGAGTACAGAGGGCTTTTATATAACATGGAGAAATTTTGGAGGGCTGTGATTTTTCCAGTATTAAACATGCATGCGTTAATCTTGCAATTTATTTTCTCATTGTGTATGTATATATAGCTTTTCTCTGCAGCACGATTTCTCTTTTGATAATGCCCTTTCAGGCACAACTAGTTATCAGTAACTGAATGTATCTTAATCATTATGGCTGCTTCTGTTTTTTCATTAACAAAGGTTATACATATGTTAGCATATAGTTTCTTTGCACCCACTATTTATGTCTGAATCATTTGTCACAGGAGAGTATGTGCTGATGAGATTCTAAGTTTTTTTTGTTGTTGTTGTTTTTTTCTTTTCTTGAGCAAGGGAAGAAAGTGCTGTGTGCATTTCACTGCTGACTGCAGGTTTCTTTCAGATCCCGTTCACTGGTCTGTGTGTACAATATGAAGAATGATCTGAAGTAATTGTGCTGTATTTATGTTTATCCACCAGTCTTTGATTAAATAAAAAGGAAAGCCAGGATCTCCCTTGTGTTACTTTTTCTCTTATTCTTTCCGATTATTTGGTCTTTTTCTTCCCAGTACTGGAATTGAACCCAGGGCCTCACACATGACAGCCAAACACTCTGCCACTGAGCTACATCCCCAGACCTAAATCTGTCTTTTTAAATTTCTGGTTTTCTGTCTTCTAATTTGATAAGAATAATATTTGTCTCACATCTATTCATAACTAATTTTGTGATGATACGGTTTTTATTCCTGCGAGTTGAAGACCTCAGTTTTCAAAACTAAGAACAATTTGCTATCACTTTGGTGTCGTATTTTCTAGCCCTTGTCTGATTCTCTGTTCTGCACTCTGTCACACCGAATTAATGTCTAATAAAAGCTTCTTTTTTGGCAGGATTAGAGAAATTGAAAAGGGATACTTCAGAGAACAGCGCAAGTGGAGAATTGATTATAGAATAGAAAGATTCTCAAAAGTTTGTTTTTTTCTATAGTTCTAGATTTAATGGCTGCCAGCCTTTTTCAAACATGGAATTTAAAACTTTTTTACTAGCACAGTGCTCAGATTCATCATAGAAAATCTACACCTTTACATAATATGTCTTGTTTTATCCCCTCCCCTTCCTTCAACCCTTCTGTTTCCATTTTTCCCTTCTGTTCTTTTTTAAAATCTCTTTTCCCTTTTCTTTCTTTCTCCCCTCCCCCTTCCCTTATTCCCTTTCCCCTTTGAAAGTGTTCTTATTCCTCCCCAATATCTATCCTCCATTCTGCCCCTTTAGGATTTCTCACACAAGAGAAACAGTGCAATATTTAAACTTGTATGTCTTATTTATTTTACTTAAAATTATGGTCTTGAAGTGCATCCATTTACTTATATAAGTGACTGGTTTATCCTTTATAGTAGTTTAGTACTCTATTGTTTATAAATACTACATTTTCTTTATCCATTCATCTCAGTGGTCTTATGGATTGTTTCCAAAATTTATCTGTTATTAAATTGAGTATAGGTATACATATAGCACTATAGTATGATGCTTTTAACTCTTAAGAAGATGCCTAGAAGGGGAATAGCTGGGTCAAATAGAACCTTTAGTTTTAAGTGTTTTGAGGAATCTCCATACTGATCTCCATAGTGGTTGTACCAGTTTATAATCCCATCAACAATGGAGGATTCTTTTCTCCACAGCCTCACCAGAATTTGTAATTAGTTGATTTCTTGATGATAGCCATTCTTTCTGGAGATGGAATATCAGTGTTGTTTGAATTTGCATTTCTCAAATGATAGTAATGTTGAAACATTTTTTCATAAAATTTGACATTTCTACTTCATTTGACAAATGTCTGTTCATTTCAGATGCTCATTTTTGGGTTGGGCTTTGAATTTAGAGGTCTGATATTTTTAGTTTTTTATATATTCTACATATTAGTCCTTGGAGGAGTAGCCAGTAAAAGCTTTTTCCCATTTTTTTTGTGGGATGTCTCTTCACTCTGCTGATGATTCTTTTGCTGTGCAAAAAAGGGCTTTTTAATTTGATGTGATCCATGTTATTCTTTGTAATATTTACTTGTGCAGTCAGGGTTTGTTCATAAAGTCTCTGCCTATACCTGTGTCTTCAATAGTTTTATTTATTCCATCTTCCAACAGATTAAATGTTTCCATTTTTTATATTTTCTCTTTGATCCATTTGATTTTAGGTTAGTGCATGGTGAAAGGTATGGGTCTAGGTTCAGTCTTTGACATGTAGGAAGCCAGTTTTCCCAGAACGATTTATTAAAGAGGCTGTCTCTTCCAGTGAAGATGTCAAACATGAAATACTAATGTAACAAATCAAGGAAATATTTTTAAGTATCTGTTTCTCGATTTGAAATGGTTTGCTTACTGCTTTATGTACATGTTCTATTCACATATTTAAAGATGCTTAGTATTAAAATCTACAGATTTAATTGATCATCCTAACAGATTAAAATGAGAATAAACCATTGTAATAAATTCAGGTAAATAGAGTTAAATACCCATTCATGATTAACAGATTTTTCTTTTGTTATTGTTTTTTGTTTTTTTGAGACAGGGTCTCACTATGTAGTTGAGACTGATCTGGAACTCACTGTGTAGCCCAGGCTGGTCTCGAACTCACAGTGATCCTCCTGCCTCAGCCTCCCAAGTGCTGGGATTACAGGCGTGTGCCACCATGCCCGGCTTCAGATTTTTCTATATCAGGATTAGAAAGAAGTTTTTTATGGAATAGTTTCTCTATAAAAACCAGTCAACCAAATAGGTAAAAAATAAAAACCAAGCATCTACCAAGAAAAGGAAACTTAAAGAAAAAGGGTTTCTTTTAAGGTCAGAAACAAAGGACAGCCATCACTGCCACCACCACCCCGCCATAATTGCTCATATTTGAAATTATGTTGTAGGAAAAAGAAGTCATAAAAAGAGGGAGGAACACTCATTTGTCTGCTACATGGTTATTTTTGTAGAAAGCTCAAACCTAGAGAAATTACTAGAAATAATAGAGTGAAGCTGGGTATAATTTCAGTTGCATTTATTTATGCCAGTTTACTAGAAAACCAGATTACAGTAGTATCAGTACCAGCCATCCTGGAAATTAACAGTATATATTGACCTCTTAAATCATAAAGAGCTAAATAATATCTCAAGTGCACATTGTTATTGATGGACGATACATATATATCAAAGATGTCATTTTCCCCAGATCTATAAATTCAGAGTCATTTCAATTAAAACACCCCCACAAGATTTTTTTCATGAAGCTTATTTAGGTGATTCTAAGGAAATAAGGAAAGGGCTAGGATGTTTCAGAAAAAAGCAGCAGGTGGGGACTTGCCTTACCAGATGGCAGGATTCACTGTGAAGTTATGTTTATTAAGAGAACATTTTAACCAGGCTTGGTGGCACATGTCCGTAATCCTAGCTGAGGCAGGAGGACTGAAAGTTGGAGCCAGCCTGGGCAATTTAGTGAGATGACTGTCTTTCAATATGAGGGCTGGGAATGTGGCTCAGTGGCAGGGCTCAATGGGTTCAATCCCCAGTACCCCTGAAGAAAATCTAGCTGCTACCTAGGGGAGGACCAGGCAGGTTATAAGTGGAATAGACTACCCAGAAAAAGACTCAGATGGAATGGACTTTGGCGGCATGTTCTGTCAGGGAAAGACTGCAATAATTAGAGTCAGGACAATTAGGTGTGTGATAAAATGTAAAAACATCCTTGTGTCATGTGGGAAAAGATGTTACAGATTTAAATGTAAAACAAAACTTTAACACTCAGGGAAAGTAGAGATGACCACTCTTAGACCAGGACAGAGGACTTTCTAACATGAAGCATTAACTACAACAGCATTAAAGAATTTGTCTATTAAAAGGAGAAAACTATTCATCAGAACATCTTAAAATAGTTTTCTTCAAAGAATGAGTAAAGACAAGTTGCATAGTGAGAAAAGTTAGGATGCAAATAAAGGCCATAATGAAACACCATTTTATATCCATCCAACTAGTAAAAATGATTAAAGTCTCACAGTATCTAGTGTTGGAGGGTTTCCAAGTTAGTGAGACATGGTTCCGCCCTTAGAAGATTTGGTATGACCTTTTTTTATACTGGGAATCTAACTCAGGGCCTTGCACTTGTGAGGCAGGTGAGGTGCCACTGAGCTAAATCCCTGGCCCTGCTATTACCTTTTAAAGTTGAACTTTATCTTAAATTTACAAGATTTTCTCCCCTGTTCCCCTGCCCTCCCTTTAACCCCTTCACCCCTCCCTATTTACAAAGACTTTGTTTACTTTGGTGGGGGGTTGGGACAGGGTCTCACTACGTAGTTGAGACTGACCTGAAACACTGTGGAGTCCAGGCTGGTCTCGAACTCACAGCGATCCTCCTGCCTCAGCCTCCCAAGTGCTGGGATTACAGGCATGTGCCACCATGCCCAGCTGTTTGCATTTTTTCATTTTCTCATTAATTGCATTCTCTTCTTTCCTTTCCCCAGTCCCACCTCCCCTTCACCTTTGGGCCATTTCTTTCTGTTTCACAATATCTGTTATGCCTTTTGATCCTTATTTACACTTTCACTTTCTCACACCAGAGAAACTATTCAGTATTTGCACACTGTTCTCAGACAAGGGTTTACTATCTAGAATATATAAAAAGCTTAAGGGCCAGGGTTTAGTTCAGTAGTGCTGCACCTGCCTCATAAGCAAAAGGTCCTGAGTTTGATCCCCTGTACTGCAAAAAACCCTTAAAAAAAAATAAGACCACCCAAATTTAAAGACCCAATCCAAAAATGGGCATCTGAAATGAACAAATAGAAATAGCAAATAAAATATTTTAATGTTAAAAGCCAGAAATTCTGTACCCACAATAAAAACCTGCACAAAAACATACAAAAAGGAATTTTTCATAGTCCTGTTCAGAAAAC